CCCCAAAACCCCAAAACCCCAAAACCCCAAAACCCCAATAAGTCTTTAAACAGAATCGTAATTAAAATATTATTTGTAAATTATACAATGGAGATGAAAATTAAGCAAAATTCTCTTGTTGCCAAACGTCCTTTAAAGCCCAGCAACACCAAAGCTGTGTTTATTGAGCCACAAGGTAAGAATAGTAACTCTTATAAATCTATTCAAAGAGGCTTTGAGTTACAGAATGAGACCAACGGAGCCAAATTAAATGGTAAGATATAAGAAAAATTATTAACTTTGTTTGCTGAATACTTTCTCACATTTTCTAAGAAAATCTTCAAAAACAACCCAGGCTAAAACAGGATAAGAAGAATATCACAAATGAAGAGCAAAGATTTTTGGATGATCCAGGAATAAGCTATGGCTGGATTATCATCCTAATGGCTCTATGGATGGTTATTAACGTATTCACTGGCCTCCCAATCATATTCTCTTTCAGTCTTATCTTTTTCTCAGGGCCTTACATGGGAGTGCTTACAGCTATATTTGCACACACTCTGTTGGCAAGGAAGTACTATCACAAGAGCTCTATAAAGGATTTATTCACAGTCCACGGGATTAATATATTCTGCATTAACTTAGTGATAGACATTGCAGTGTTAACGTCCATACACTATGCGATAGAGGAGCATTGTAAGCATCGTATACCTTCTTTTCTCAGGTACATTGAACGAGCAATTCCTATTTCAGCGACACTATTTATCCATTTTATCCTCTTTTATTTACTAAATTTTCTCTATGACCGGCTTATAAAAGTAAAAGCTGAAGATACAGCAGCATCTAGCTCTAGAGGAACTGAGTCAAAAAGTTACTTACCTCTTAAACCAGCTTTGGGAATTCAACTTCTTTTGTTCCAGTTGTTAATATCGATATACTTTGCTGTAGTATTTGAACTCACTTATCAGTCTATGCCGTACCTGGCTCAGTCCTTCTGCATATTATATCCAGTTTTAATCGGAACTGCGAAGACTTTCCAAATGTGGTGAATCAATGAGTACGAAATAGACACTATATATGAGTTCCTCAGCCTGGGCTTGGCCGCTTTCCCATACAGGTTCCTGTTCTTCACAGTAGATCTGCCGATTGTTGCAACTCTGATAGTAATGATCAAATTTGGCTATAAAATCAATGGTTACGTGTTGGCTTATTTGCCCAAAACACTTCAATACAAGAAAAAGTTAGAAGGCTGATTTAAGAAGAAAAATAAGACTGGAATTAAGGATAACTCCAAAGAAGTTCCAATACAAAAATCTTGATCCAATGACATATCGGAATTAGGAATAGCAGAGAATATGAGATCAAATAGCAATCTCAATGATATCCATTCCCACTCTTGAAAGGATGAGAATAGAGGTCCTCGATTTTCTGAGGAGCATAATTTCGAAGAGAATAAATACCAGTCACAACACTATTCAAGCAAGAAGGCTAAGAACCTAGAGATAGAGGCTTTGTATGGAAGAGAGGTAAGCCACTTTGTGATTTATTACCGTTCCTACCGATGTCTTAATCATTCCCTTAGCCTACAGCCAATAAAACACCCAATATGGAGATTGAGCTAGAAAACAGGGCAGAAAAATCCATAATCTCTGAGAAACCTTCGTTAATTCCTGAAAATTCAGAGATTTTACTTTCGAAAGAAGTCTCTTTGAAATTCTTTATCCAACAATTCCTTGATATTGGCGATATTATTGGAACATTGATTATCTTCATACTCTTGCGAGCTGTTGGGAAAGGAGATATAGGAAACCTCTCCAGGTCCCATACTATTCTGTTCTGCATTGAGGTTACTATTGAATTTACCCTTGAGATTTTCTGGTCTATTGGAATTGTTCCTATCATCAAGAAAATAACTGTGTTAAAAGATTTCAGGCCATCTGCAGGAGCAAGGGAGATTCTTATGAAAGAAATGGTATATCTCTCTATTCTGAGCATCATGACGTACCCTATGATGCTTTTTATGATTCTTAACCAATAAAAACTTCTATTTAAGATTTTCTGATTATATTTTCAACTCTAGTGAGCTATCATGGGGTTTTGGGGTTTTGGGGTTTTGGGGTTTTGGGG